GGGGGGGGGGGGGGGGGGGGGGGGGGGGAGAGGTGCTGGTAGGAAAAGAGTAGGTGAATAGATAGCATTGGACAACTGATTGATAAGGGTGGGAAGGAAGAAGGGGGCAGGCAGGGTGAAGCCTGAGTCAAGATTTGTGGGGCTGGGACCTGGAAGCCAGTGCGGTTTACTGATTCCCTCCCGAGTGGTCACCTTGCAGGGCTTCAGCAGGGAGCCACCGTGCAATGCCAGGAGGTCCTCCAGGTTGCTAACCCCCCCAAGCTGCAGCAAGAGCCTCTGCTAAGGGAATCCATCCAGCTGCAGAATCTCAGTGGCATTGTGGGGAGAGGCCAGCGTTGTCCCCCTTGATGCCCACTTGAGTTTCTAACCTTCCTTCCTTCTCTCTCTCTCTCTCTCTCTCTCCTTTCCCTGCCTCCCAAACAGTCCTCCAAACCAATCATGGAGAAGCGACGGCGGGCCAGGATTAACGAAAGCCTGGGCCAGCTCAAGACTCTCATCCTGGATGCGCTGAAGAAAGATGTAAGTTGGTGGGGGTGGGGATACAGAATGCGCCTGCAGTGCTTGAGGTGGGAGGGAGGGGGAGCCCTGGGGGTACCCCAGCTGTTCCTTCCTTGGACCCCTACCATTTTAGTCAGCGTGGTTCAAGCCAGCTCACCCTTTCTCCCTTGTTTGTTTCCTCCAGAGCTCCAGGCACTCAAAGCTAGAGAAAGCAGATATCTTGGAAATGACAGTAAAACACCTGAGAAATCTCCAGAGAGCCCAGATGACAGGTGAGTAGCAAACCTCCTGCCAACAGGGGTGTGGAGTTTACCTCTGCAACTGTTCCTTCTCTTGTGGGGTGCAGAAAGAAAATAATGCTATGTAATGTGGAAAATCTAGCTATCTGGGGGTCCGCTCCTCATTCCACACAGAGTTTGTACTCTGCTCTTGCTTCAGGCAAATGCTTTCGCTAATCATCTTAGCATCCCAGCAAGGCAGGCCAGAAACTGACATTCAAAAGCCTCCTAGTTCGTGGCTCAACAGGATCTGAAGCCATCTTCCTCATCCAGGGTCCTGGAGAGGGGTTTGGCCTGCTCCATCCAGGAAAGTCCAGAGCTGAGCAGGTCTTCAAAACCAAGACCTTCGACCCCCAGGTCTAAGGCTACACTTAGTACGAGAGACATTGGCCAAAGAAAGAAGGAAGCTCATCCCTAGGGTCCTCAAGAGCCAAAAAGCTTGAACGGTGCTGGTCTGGTCGTTAATCCTTCCTCACCACCCTTTTCTCCCTCGCAGCTGCTCTGAGTGCTGATCCTAGTGTCTTGGGCAAGTACCGGGCTGGATTTAACGAGTGTATGAACGAAGTCACCCGTTTCCTCTCCACCTGCGAAGGGGTGAACACAGACGTCCGCAGCCGGCTCCTGGGCCACCTTTCCACTTGTCTGGGTCAGATTGTGGCCATGAATTATCCACCACCACCTCCCCCTCAGGCCACGAGCGGACAGCCTGCGCACTTGGCACAACCCTTGCATATCCAGTTGCCAGGCCCAGCAGCTGCAGCTGGAGTAATGCCCGGGCCGTGCAAACTTAACCCCAGTGAAACTTTGTCCCCAAAGGTCTACGGGGGGTTCCAGCTGGTACCAGCGACTGACGGCCAGTTTGCTTTCCTCATCCCTAACCCATCTTTTCCACCTGGCGCTGGACCAGTGGTCCCACTCTATGCCAACACAAACATGCCTGTTTCCTGCAATAGTTCAACAGCAACTCCTTCTGTATCGCCAGTGCAAGGGCTTACATCTTTTGGGGGAAGTTTAGCACCCGTTTCTCAAGCTGGAGGAGAACGTCATGAAACCGTCTGGAGACCGTGGTGACTCTTCCCTTGTTCTGCCCCTCCTTTGCTCTCCCCACAAAAAAATCCTGAGTATTTTCAAAATTGGTTCCGTTGTATGGAACCCGGACCTCTCGTTTATTTTGTTGGCTGAATTCCCCCACCTCCCCAAAAAACTCATATTTATTCATTTCCAAAGGTCGGGATGCCAATTTGTATTTTTAACCCTTTTTTTAAACGTTATGTGAAATATTTCTTTTTTAAAAAAAGAAAATCTTAGTTTTGTATCAAATATTTGCCACGTACTATGCCAAAGCTTGTTTATGTATGTCTGAGACTTTGTTTTTAAAGAATGTTGGAAGATGTTTGTACAAATAAAACTTTCTTGAATTAGAAATGCTGTTGTCATTGCCAGAGTTAAAAGTGGGGAAGAGTTTTAAACTATTTAACTAGTGGACTTGGACAAATACAATTTGGTTATCAACACTGTCCTTCTAGTTAAATGTATCTCAAATACCATATAATGTGTGCAGGATAGAGGAAAGCCACAAGAATTGTAGGCTCTCAAAGCAAGTCAAGAATGTAAAAATGCTTTTGATCAACTAAAATATTCCACTTAAAATACTAAAGATCCATTTTCTTCATGGACAAATATAAAATTATGGTGTGATTATCTCAGAGGCATTGCCATCTATGAAGGAAACAAGGCTGGGAGGGAGTGCCTTTCCCAAAATATCTGTTATAGTATACCTGCATAATCTAAAAGCCTCTTTTTTTTTTTGCTTAAAAAACACTACTCAGATTTAATTGGCTAATTTTTTGTAGGCTTATGTAGGAGAAATTTGCCACATAATACGCTAAAACTATAGATATAGACAAGCCATATTTCTTAACTTGGCAAGAGCTGCTTCAAGCAGCTGGCCTTGCTTTCATATGCTACAGATTCCTCATTTCAAATCACAGAAAATCAGTTTTCAAGAAAGTAAACTTGCTTTCCTCATACAGAGATGAAAATTAAGTCTTGGGGTATTATCCAGCCCCATCATTAGCAAAGTTGACAACTCAGCCCAAAGCTTATGAACTGCATTTCATTAGCTAGTCAAAATGTAAAGAGTCAGTTCTCTATTCTCCTTCCCCATGCCACACGCTGTCCCCAAAATCTTGGCTCCCCCTCAGCAACTCCAAAAGTTTGTTGTCAAAAAGTAATGTGAAAATGAGAAAAGGAAAAGTATATTCATTACCGGGGAACCATTGTATTACCTATCTCTAATTTTAATTCAGTTAAAACGAAAATTAAATTCAGCTTTTGTCCTTTTGGAGTGCAGCTGCCAGGACAACCTTTAAAGTCCCAAGTGCAGTCCTTGGGGCTGCCATCCACATCTGGGCTGCAACACTGTAGACAGCCATTAGATGGCAGTAAAGAGATATACTAGTGGCCCCTAGTGGCCATCCCTATTTATGCAGCCCAGATCTACCAAGTCTACCCATGCCCTGAAAAAATGTGGAATACTAATTTAGGAATGGGAACTAGGGAACAACCATTTTTGCTAAGATATACATTTAGAAAGGTTTCTAACTCTTCCATTCTTCCTAGAAGGAGTTTCTAACTGGGTTCTTGAACAACAGCTGAGTTCTTACAACCGACTTAACCTGGTTACTAAATTAATCCATTTTCACAATAGAAATAACCAGAGGTGCTGGGACCGTGCCATATCCTAAGCCACAATATAACCAAGGTTAAAACAAACCACATTTATCGTGTATATTCAACTGCTACGTCATCCACTTGATAAGCATGTTGCACGAGTGCAGCTGCCCTGTTTAGACCATTCTACAAAAACAGCCAACGAGAGACAATAAGTTGCCTGTATATGTTATCTTCCTCTATTTTTCAAAGCAAGGACCATGCACCATCTGCAGTTGTGGTGATTAGAGATATTACAGAAATTCTTATTTTCTAGTTGGGAAATATGCATCCTGACAGCCTGTACCATTTGCCTGGAAGGCTGAGCAAACATTGCCTTCGCCCAGAAGCTCTTCTGCAGATTTTAATCTGAGGCATAGGAGGTTTTCGTCTCTATAAAACACCTGTCATTTTTCAAAGGTTCCGTGCCACGTGTCAGACCTGAAATGGAGCGGAAGGACACCAATGTCCGCTTGGCTGAAGATGGGGCTACAAACTGGCTAGGGAAACGATTTCATTTTGGGCAGTGACTCTTGTTCCCCCACCCATAACCTCATAATCAAGTGGGGGCCGTATCTGTTTTCTACTCAGTTCTGAGCTTGGTATCAAATGAGCAACTTGAGTTTGGAGAGGAGTTGTTTTGGGCTGAAGAAGAGAATCCTTGCATTCACCCCTTCTGTACAAAAGCAACTCTTATTGTTACTGCAGTTCAACTAATCTTTCTGTGTCCCAGAGGAAGTTGGCCAGTACGATGATGATGATGATGATGAATTCCTGCAAGGAAGCAGCTACATGGTTCTCCTTGTCACTTCTCCCCCCCCCCCCCGCAAACTGAAAGGCAGCAACTCATCCAAGGTCATCAAGCGAGTTTCATGCCAAAGTAAGGATTTGAAGGTTGGTTCCAACTTTCATCCTGGCCTACCCCGTGCCAGTAAATTTGGTGCTGTTAAATCTACCGTATGGGGTCATGAGCTGATTAGAAACAAGACTCCCCCCCCCCCCCTGTGGAACAACCACTGGGCCCCCCCCCACCCCCCTTTTTTTTTTTGTGTTGGGGGGAAAGGGAAA